TCTGCCTCTCTGCTCGCCCCCTCGCTCTCTCTGCCCGCCCTGTCTGCCTCTGTCCGCCTCTCTGCTCGCCCTCTCTGCCTCTCTGCTCGCCCTCTCGCTCTCTCTGCCTCGCCTCTCTGCCCGCCCGCCTGCGCCAACTCCCGCGCCAACCGCCGCGGCCCGCGCTCCTGCTCGCCCGCGCTCCCTGGGGCCGCTCTTGTCCGTGAGGGCCGAGGGGCGTCTGCGCCCACTCTGAGTCCCCGCTGCCCGCGGCAGCAGCAGCTCACGCTTCCCGCTGGCTCGGGGGGGCCACTTGAGGCTCTCCCTGTGCCCTGGGCTTCTGCCTTCGCGTCCTGCGGTTTTGCCGCGGGGTTTTGATGCTTTCGGGAGGGTCCCCCGCCGCTGTCCTCCTCCTCGGAGCCCCTCTCCTCAGCAACTGAATCTCAAATAATTCAAAAGTCAGTTAGTGGTGGAAAGGAGGCTCTCCCGGAAAAATGCACAAGCGAAACCTTCCCATATGCTTTAACACCGTCTGCCTTTACGACTTAAAGTGGCCAGTGACAACACCCCCCCCCCAAACGCTAAAGGATTGTGCAACTTGTAGCTTAGATTAAGTGAGTGCAATGTCTTGTCCCATTGCCTCACTGAGTTTCCTAGCTAAGAGCCCAGCTATTGCTTTGAGACTGTGTTGTCACGCCTCGGATTCTGAGTTTTAGGTGAGACTTCCTCATGTATCACCTGTCACGACCCATGCAAAAATGCAAGCTGATTAGAAAATGGCTTGATCACTTTAGATGATCTTCAAGGTCTTTTCCATCCTGGAGGGTTCTGTGATGTAAAAACAAAACCAAAAACCCAAACCAAAACCCCCCATCCCCAAGACCAAAATTCCACCTACAAACAAGCTAGTTTGCTTCCAGATAACTCCTGAATAATTGCTTTAGCTTAACTGTGAAGTTGGCTTGAATGTCTGCAGCTGAAGGCCCCACACATTCCTGAGCTGTGACTTGGGAACCACCTGGCAGATGGGGGCAAATCAGCAAATCAAGCCCAGCTGCAATGGGACCGTGACATAGATCTCGCTCTCCTCTGACATCTGTCTTACCCTGTTCTCTGTCACGAGAGAAATGCTCTTCAGATGGCCGCTGCCTGACGCCAGGGTGCGGAATCAGGGCAGCAGCCCGAGTAGCTCCCAGAGGAACCGGCTCTCTACAAGAGGGGAAGGATATTTTCCCGGTAGGAGTTGACGTAGCAAAGAGGGGAGCACAGTGAGAGGCGGGAGCAGATTCTTTGGCTTTTAGTGCAACGGCTGGGCTGGCTGTGCTGTAGCCAACGAGTTTAGCTAATGCGTAGCACAGAGAATGAAAGCTGAGTTCGTAAGAATTGAACTGCCTGCTGCCTTGTTTTCTCCAACAGCTAAAAGCTGCTCTGTCTTTAGGTCTCTCAAGGCAGCCAAAGTAATGGTTGGGTAAATTTGTTATTGACTCGAGCTCTACTGTTTCAGAATGCATGGGGCATTTGAAACACTTAAACTGAGAGGGCAATAGTGCCTATACGCTTAGATTCCTAAAAACCAAGCAAACAAACAGTTCCCCCTCACCCACCCGCCCCAAACCCAAGTGTTCCCCTGAAAATCTGCGTAGATACTGATATTAGTGATGAATTAACATCCTGTGCTCCTTCAAGATCTCCAGATGTCAGGGTGTTTTTTTCAAAGCAGCAGCTGTAAGGCAACTTTCTGGGGAGGAGCAGCAAGTATGAAACTGTGTCTGCCAATACTGCAAGTGTGTGAAGCAAAAAGTGACGTGATTAAAAAGGTGAATGAGAAGAGGGTAATTACCACAGCAGAAGCTTAATTAGGATAGTGGAATCCATTCTTTACTGCACACTTGCAAGAAGATCATTAGGGACTTCCTTTTTATATATCATGCAAAAAGGACCATTTAATAGCACAGTGCTACTTAAAAGCACTCTGGGATTTGTCTCTGTAGTGGTTCTCAAAGAAGTAGGTTGCTTGCTTTATCGGTGCCGCTCCTGGTGCCAGTGCGAGGTGTCAGAGCGCATCCACAAGCGTTCTGCCTCCGAGAAGAGCTTTGCTTGGCTTATCAAAGCAGTAAGACCGGAGGCTTGCAGACCCATCCGGGCAGCAGTTTATAAATTAAAAGAAGACCCCAAGTCAACAACAGGCAGCGCAGGAACAACTAAAATACCTATGATACACAAGTACTGGAAAACCAGTTTGTTTTCCAGTCTCTCTGCCAAGATCTGATTTGAGAGAGGTTCCAAGAGCCCCCGAGAGTGGATGGTGTTGGCAATAAGCAGAAATGCTCGGCTGTAAGAGTAGCCTGGGACTCTTGTCCATAGATGCCAACAGGTAACTTAAATCTTTACCACCAGCTTATCTTTAAAGTGTGAATGGATGGGTGGACTTCTGAGCCTTCTCACCCTTTTCCTTAGAGGAGGGAGGAGCTCACTTCTGCAAAGCTCTGGGACACAAAACCTTTTCACTGCTTACATGTGATTTAAATTTGGAGGGCCCTGATGGGAAATGTTTAACATAGCTGATTGTACAGCGGTCAACTTTGTATCTACAAATGTGAAATGAAAGCTTTTCTTTTTGAACGTAAAATCCCCCCAAGTAAGCTGGAAGGAGAGAAGAAGAAAAGGACTCAGGAAAGGGTTGGAATTTGCTTTATTTTACAAAATGCAGTTCCCTCTGCCCTTCCCCCTCCCCCTTTCTTTTTTTTCCTATAACCTCAGCAGCGTGAGCAGAAAGAAGTGTTTCTCTTTCAGATCACAGATTGCTGCTGCAAGCTTTTGCCAACCGAGTGCGTTTCCTCAGCGGCCAAGCTCTGCTGGATGTCACAGAACATCTCTCAGGTATTGCCTGCTTCAGCTCATCTCAACTTGTAAATGAAGAAGCCTTCAGAGGGAATATTTAGAGGGACAGCTTCAGAACAGACAGTGCAGTAGCTCACCAAACACCGGCAGGTTCTGAGCTCGTCTCTCCTGTGAGATACACGTAATAGGTATATTTGGCAGGGGTTTGCCTGGCTGCTGCAGAGGTGTGCAGCATGTGAGATGAGGACGCGAGCTCTCACTGGGGCATCTCAGGACCTGCCTCCAGGAAAAAAGAGGGGCTAAAAATACCCTGGCTGGCTCCTCTCTTTGAAGGACAGTACAGTAAATGTCGTGGACCTGGAAGAGGTCCCTTTTCTAAGGTGAACAACCTCAGAGAAAACTGTGGTAACTGTTACTTCTGACAATCAGTTTGGTTTGTCATCATGGGATTCTCATTTTCCTGTCGGAAAGTTCTGAGGCTGAATTCTGCAGAGCCTGGGGCTCACAACGTAGGGGAAAACTCAACACACACGTTACAGGCAAGGATTTTGTGCAAGGCAGAACTTGGGGACTGAGGGGCAGAAGCCCAGCCCCTTCAGCCCCACCCACTGAGGCTCCCTGCCTGTGCTGCAGGTACGACATTGGTCCCAAGCATTTCAGGGTGTGCAGACAATCTATTTCTAGATCAGTGGTGCCCAACACACTACAAAGGCAGCTGATCATTGATTTAGAATAGTAGCTTGCTATGTCAGCAATAGCCAAGGAATGGAAAAAATTATAATCTCAATATATACTAGAAAAGACTGTTTACACCCTTCCTTCAGTTAGGGCTAAATCCACTGCCAATTAGGCCAGCATCTTTTAATCCAAGCTTTAATACACTTTGCTTCTTCATGAGGAATCTCAAAAGGGCAGGCTTAGCCATAGCGAGTGTAAAAGGGCCCTTAAAGATAATTTGCATAAAGTAAACCTCCATAAACATAGGATTAGTTTTACAGTTATTTAATCTTTTTTCAGATAAAGCACTTGAACATAAATTGGGACTACTTTAGAGGGACCAGGCATTCTCTCTTTGATTTACTGTAAACAGACAGCTCTTTCTCTTCTGAAGCTCCATAGTGACCTCTGAGTTTAATAGCATTTAAACTCAAATTAACTCCCATTTTAAAATAGGTACCATAACCCTTTTCCTTCCGACCAGCATTGTGTTGAGGTACCTTCAGGAGCCATTTAAATGTTGATGATTTATGCTAGATTAACAGCATTCAGAAATTTAAGGTCCTTCCCCTACAGAACAGTAAGTGGTTACTTTATGACAGAATCACATTAACATTTCCACTGAAAAGAAAATAAGAACTCTGTCTCCAGACCATTTCAGATTTTGATCTCTCAGCAAAATCTGCCATGCAAGGAGCCTACTGGGAGTAAACTTTGGTTTATATTCCATAGAGTTCAGTTCAGAAATTGAGCTGAGAGCAGACCTCTGAGAGAATGAGAGGGAATGCTTGTTTTTTGTGAAATTTCAGCTCCCTGCATAAGATATTTTTTCTCCCTCTGTATCCCTATTTCTGGGAACATTGTGAGGATAAATGTCCAAATGCCATGGCAGTGGAGTCTGGGTAATTATCTAAGACATCCTGAAGTTTGAAACAGCTGTTCATTAGAAGCCACCAAGTATGAAGAGAAAAATCCTCCGATTAGAGCCTTCTGCCAAAGACATCAGTTAGCCACTGATGTTTCTACCCAAACTGTCTAGTGGCACACATTCTTTTGTGGGCTGGAGTTTTGAAGTGTGTTATAATACAGCCGTTTGCTGTGTGCCACCGAGCAAAGGGAAGTGCCAGATTAGACTGTTGGCATTTTTCAACAAAGGTCGCCAAAAAATAATCATCCTTGTTGTTAGAAATCTGTCAATTACCTCTCTAAGATGCATTTCAGAATCTTCAGCAGCTGGCTTAGACAGCTTCTGAATGGAAATAACCAGCGATTGGACGTTTTTGTCATTTGGAATGCAGAAGTGGATAGTGAAATGCTTCTCTCTCTCCCCCGGCAGCGCTCGTGGTATCTCTTTATCCCTGGAAACCCCAAGCCGTCAAGCACTACGCCCTGCCCGTACTCTGGTTCTTCCTGGGAAACAAGGCCCCGCCTGTCCGAAGCAGGAATGTCAGGGCTGTGGCTGCCAAGCTTGCAAAGACCCTCTACCAAGTGATGGGCTTGAGCCTGAAGGACCATGCTGCCACCCAGCCTCAGCACGTGGTGAAGAACCTCTCGGACATTTTGGGCCTGAAGGTCGGGTGAAGACTTGGTGTGCTCCAGGGAGCCGACAGAGAGATGCTGAGTGGAACAGGTGGAGGCAAAGGTGGACGTGGTGGTGGCGGCACTGGTTTTACTCAGTGTCTTTGAAGAACGAGATTAACCGTACAGAGTTTATAGTTACAGTTGTACATAGCATATTTTGATGTAAGCTTTTAAAAAATAAATGAAGTATTTTTCAAAAGGTTTCTGTCTTGAGCTCATGTTCCCTAAGAATCTTGCATCGATACCAGAAAAATGAAAACCTGTGTGTAAATGCAATTTGTAACTGTAGAAAGGAAAATACTTATATACCTACTTAGAAAGTAAGAGATGCACACATATATATATATATATCTATATATCTATCTCCCCTTATGAAGTAAGAGATGGGCTTTGGAAGCCCTGGGGCTATAGGATTAGATGGCTTGATTTGAGAAGCAGAGAAGGAGAGACCAGGCCCTGCTAGCCCAGAGGATATGTGGTGGGGTTATCGGAGGATGTGCTGCTCACTGTGTGTGCCAGTGTATGCCACGGGTGCCAAGCTACCAGGTGGCCTCTTTACAAGTCTCTGGTAGCTGCTGGTGCAATGAGAGACACCGAGATGTGCCGATCAAGCTCACGACAGCAGAAATCTCCCCATTCTTCCCATTTCAGGGGATGCTTGTTGTCCGTAGTCCCCCTGCGCTCCCTCGTGCAATGGACTGATGTGGTGAGGTGGCCAGTGCCATTGGACTGTCTGCCAGCACCCTGGGGCGCCCCTGGGGAGGTGCAGGAGAGGGGCTCGGGTAGGGGGCTGTGCCACCTTGCAGAGAGTGCTGGGTGACACACGGGGTGCTGGGCAGTGAGTGGGCTGAGGGTGTCCTACAGAAGCTGGGGAGAGGTAAGCTGTGGGCAGGCATCATTTTTAAAAGGCTGTACATTTTCTAAATATCTTTTTTTTTTCCATCTTTTGAGAAGGGAAGGCTTTGCCTTGTATGCAGACCAGTAAAGCACTTCTGAACCTGAGATTCAGGAACCTGAGGAAGGGAAGTGCCAGTCCTTCACCATAAAAGGTTTGGAAGCACAAGGGGAGAAATGATGAGAGAAGAGAGGAAGGGCTGAAAGCAACAGAGGCTGGTGCATCTGTATAATCAGATATGGAAACAGAGCAGCCTGATCTATGTTCATATCATCCTCAATCTACTGGCAGAGTTTTTGAACGAAAGAAAAATGGAAGCTTTGGGGAGAAGAAAAAATAGGAAAACAATGGCATGGAACACATGGGGCCCATGGAGGGTTAAAAGAGCCTTGACAGGTTCTTGACAAGTACAAGGACCTTACATGAAGCTGGGAGTTCTGTTTTGCCCCCTTCCCCCTTCAAGTCCAGTTTAAAGCTCTGTCAATGAGCCCAGCTATCTCCTGCCCCAAGATCCTCTTCCCCCTCTGGGACAGGTGCATTCCATCTAATGCTAAAAGGTCAGGTGCCCTGTATACCGACCCACGACTGAAAAATCCAAAACCCTGACGGTAACACCAGCCGTGGAGGCCCCAGTTCATCTGCTGAGTTCTCCGGTATTATTCTTCATCCATCCTCCCAGCTGAAGGAATGTAGGAGAACACAAATTGTGCACCCGACCCCTTAATCAGTTTCCCCAAGGACCTGAAATCTCTCTTCATTGCTTTAGGCCTTCTCCTGGTAATGTCGTCACTAGCTACCTGAGAAACCAGGAGAGGGTAGTAGTCCTTGGGTCTCACTAGAGCAGGGAGTTTTGCTGTGAGTCCTTGACGCAGGCCCCAGGGAGGCAGAAGACTTCCCTATGAAGTGGGTCTGGTCTGCATATGGGGCCTTTGACATCCCTTAGACCACGGAGTCCCCCACTGCAGTGACTCTTCTGGGCTTCTTTTCAGAACCGGTTTTAATACCTGGCCTAGAACAACCCATACTTGGTGGACTCTTGGTCTTCCTCATTTGACTCATTTTCTTCCTCCTTCTCTTCGTTCCACAGTTCCAGGGCCCCGAATCTATTGTGAAGGGGCACCATGGAGGGTGAGGGAGGTCAGGAGAGGATTTTCCTGCCTCCCTGAGCAGGGACCTGTTTCCAGCCTCCCTTGTCTCTTAAGGTCCCCTCCTTCTGCCTGGTAGCAAGAGGATGAGAAATTACTTGCCTCATTTGGAGCCTCCATTTGCTCCTGTTGCTTAAGGGGTGCTGGGGTGTCACTCCACCACTAATTTTCCCTTTCACACTCCCTAATACATCTTAATCTCTTGACCTCTTCTTTGAGCTCCATCACCAAGCTGAGCAGGTCATCCAGCTGATTGCAGAGCACACCTGGTGATTGTGTCCTCATACTGTCTGTGTTGTGAAGGGAAATAAGAAAACCAACAAAACCGACCTCCAAATTGAGTGGAAATTAAAGAAACAAAGGACTTCCAAACTAGCTTTTGAAAACATCTACTTCCTAGACACTGTCAAATTCTAGAGACCATTGTGTGTGCCTACCCTTTAAAGGAGAGGGAAGGAATCCTGTAGCCATGAATGGGCAACTAGCAAAACATATGCAAATTTATAGAATGCTCAGCTGTCTGTCAAAGTGCTGGAATGCGAGCGCGTCACAAAGCAGTGCATCACAAAGCAGTGAGGGCAACCAGATCCAAACAGCAGTGCGTCACAAAGCAGTGAGGGCAACCAGATCCAAACAGATCGCTGGGGGCAACCAGATCTCTGTGGAGGCCAGGACTGCAGGTCCCTACGTGGTATGTGTTGTAGTTGAAGCCCAGCTGGCGACTAAGCCCCACACAGCCGCTCGCTCACGCCCTCCTGGTGGGATGCAGGAAGGAATTGGAAGGGTAGAAGTAAGAAAACTTGTGAGCTGAGATAAAGGCAGTTTAACAGGTAAAGCAAAAGTCGTGCATGCAAGCAAAGCAAAACAGGGAATTCATTCACTGGTTCCCATGGTCAGGCAGGTGGTCAGGCAGGTGTTCAGCCATCCCCAGCAAAGCCGGGCTCCATCATGTGTAACGGTTACTTGAGAAGACAAAAGACCATCACTCTGAAGATCCCCCTCTTTCTTCTCCTCGCCCTAGTTTACATGCTGAGCGTGAGGCCATATGGTGTGGGATATTCCTGTGGTCAGCTGGGGTCAGCTGTCCCAGCTGTGTCCCCTCCAAACTTCTTGTGCGCTCCCAGCCTTGTGCTCTTCTTGTGCTCGCTGGTGGGGTGGGCTGAGAAGCAGAAAAGGCCTTGACTCTGTGTAAGCACAGCTCAGCAACAGCGACAACATCCCTGAATTATCAACACTGCTTTCAGCACAAACACAAAACACAGCCCCATACTAGCTACAATGAAAAAAATTTAAATCTATCCCAGTGAAAACCATCACAGGGTGTTAGACTTCTATGGACAATGGGTGTCTGTTTTATTCTCTCCACATTAAATGCAAAATCAAACACCAAAAGGAAGCCTACAGAGGGTGGACGCAAGGACAGGTAGCCTGGGAGGAATACAGAGGAACTGTCCAAGCAGCCAGGGATCGGGTTAGGAAAGCCAAAGCCCTGATAGAATTAAACCTGGCCAGGGACATCAAGGGCAACAAGAAAAGCTTCTATAGGTACCTCAGTGATTAAAGGAAGACTAGGGAAAATGTGGGCCCTCTCTGGAAGGAAACAGGAGGCCTGGCTCCCTCGGACACAGAGAGGCCTAAGGTACACCGGGACAGTTTTGCCTGAGTCTTCAGTGACAAGGGCTGCAGCCACACTGCCCAAGACAAAAAAGGCAAAGGTGGAGACTGGGAACATGAATAACTGCCCACTGTAGGAGGAGATCAGGTCTGAGACCATCTAAGGCACCTGAAGGTGCACAGGTCCACGGGATCTGAGGAGATGCACCTAGGGGTCCTGAGGGAACTGCCGGATGAAGCGGCTAAGCCACATAAGGGGGCCTACAGGAAAGATGATGAGGGTTTTTTTTATAAGGGAGTATAGTGACAGGACAAGGGGTAACGGTTTTAAACTGAAAGAGGCTAGTTTTAAATTAGCTCTAAGGAAGCAATTCTTTACCGAGAGGGTTGTGAGACACTGAACAGGTTGCCCAGAGAAGCTGTGGCTGCCCCCTCCCTGGCAGTGTTCAAGGCCAGGTTGGACGGGGCTTTGAGCAACCGGGTCTGGTGGAAGGTGTCCCTGCCTGTGGCAGGGCAGGGTTGGAACTTTCACGGAATCTTTAAGGTCCCTTCCAACCCAAACCCTTCTATGATTCTGTGTTGCAAATCTGAGTAATTTGTCCTGTGCTTCTTTTAAAGCTGAGTACCACACCGCGGTTGCTGTGTACTGTGGGAGCATTCCAAAATTCCAACCCAGATACATAGCTCTGCGAGGCGGAAGCATTGATTCCAACTTGCAGTTTTGTGGCAGCAAGTGGACCACTGGAGAAGAAGGTGAGGATGGAAAGGGGTTGAATGTGCATAGGTGTCCTCAGCCAAATGGAAAGAACCCAAGCTGATTTCAGAGCGAAATGGTCATTGGAAGTCAGTGCTCATGTGCTGACTCTGTGTCAGAGTAGGCGGCTGACAGAGAGCTGCAGATGCTCTTGCCCTCCTCCAGGGGCGTGCATGGCAACACATCTCTCTACTAGTTCATTATGCTTTCTCCTTTATCAACAGTAGCCAGATCACTACCACTGTCAGCCAGGAGAGAGAGACTGTGGCCTAACTGGCCGTGAATCAGGCATGGTAATGAGCTGTGAGTTCTGTTTCTATTCTTGCTATTGATGTATGGTCTCGCCATAGGTAAATTCCCAGTTTTTCCTCTGCTTGCCCTGCAGATGCTGTAGAAATGCTGGCATGGTCTGCCTGCTTGCTGAGATATTTCCAGAAATATCAGCAGCACAGAATGGGTCTTTACTGGTAGTCTTCACAGAAGCCAAGTCCTGAAACAGGAATTTTTTTTTCCTCTTACCAGTGGGGCTTTCAACCTCTCTCTCCTGGCTTGCTAACTCAATGCTGTTGAGAAGAATTAAACTGATGCTAGTTTTATGAAACATTAAAATAAACAGATCTTCCGAATGATTACAAAACCCCTCGAATGCCTCACTCATTAGATGGGTTGAATGTAAAGGTGTGAGGTCAGCTAAAACTCACTTCTCTTTTACCTGATCTACAGCTTCTTTTCAGACCCTATTAACACCCAAGATGAAAGTGGAGCCTAGTTTACGGGATGGGGAGCATCCATACCCAAGGGCCATTCCTCCCCTGGATGGCTGGATGAAGGCTAGTTGGGACATCCTCCGAACTGGGGATGGTGGTGATCTCTCGCACCATTCTCACCGACCCTTGACCCAGGAACTCCAAGAGAGAGAGGTGAGCAGTGCTGCCCCCAGAACTGTTCACATCAAGGACAAGCTGAAGATGAGGAGGATCTCTGAGGATCTGTTAGCCCCACACAGAGGTAAGGCGGGAGCCTGCCCACTCTCCTGTGGGAAGAAGGGTCTTTTCCCAGCCTAGAGAGCTAGCTCCCATTCCCACTGAACAGGAGTCCCCTGCATGTGCCCCCCTGAAATAACCTGCCCTGCTCTCAGTTCCCTGTGTAGCCCTCCTGTTGCTGTAGGGGTGCATAACTGCGGGGCAGGGAGAGAAGTGGGAGGTTGTGTGTGCAGGTGACATTCTGGGGAAGCCCAGGTCCGTGGGCTCCCTGTTTGTTGTCTAACAGGAGCCCACAGGACCAGGGTGTTTCTCTGATGGCTTTGTGGAAGTGGGTAAGTGTTGTCCACTGGCCTGCCTCAAGTGGCTGCCAGCATGAGCATGTTTCCCTGTGCAATGATTTAGAAGTTTCCAAGAAATCTGTCCAATGAAATATCGGGCTTTGGGTGCTTTCGGTTTGCAGTGCTGTTTCTATTACACTTTGTGTCTCCACTTTGCAGGCCTGACTGACTGCAGTGACCCTGAGGGGCTTTCCCTGAAGCCACTAGTTTGCATGTCAGCTTCCCAGAGGTTCCCGGCAACCTCCAAGCCCATGCCTCCCATCCAGAACCGCCTCCCTCCCTCAGAGCTCAGCAGTGTGAGCAACGGAGAGCAGGAGCATGGGGAAAGTGGCACAGGCTGTGATGAGAGTGATGGGGATAACACAAAGCTGATGTCGGAGGCAAAAGGATCTGAAGTAAGGAAACCAAGCCAAATCACATGTGGTGCATCTTCAGTTTATTGCCCGTAGGCAGAGCTCTGAGATCTTCTTTCCCTGTGGTGCGAGTCCAGGGAAGCAGCTGATCCAAGGAAGAGCTCAGCTGGACATTGTGCTGCAAGCTGTTTTTGCAACATGCATCCTGCAGACTTCACGTCCTCACTGGGTATCAACAGGAGAAGGGGCGTCTAAATAGTTTCTGTGCTCTCTAGTGGCTCCTGCTGTGCTTTACGACTGAGAAAACACCAGCAACCAGTTGGAGCCACTAAATGTGTCTAATCTGGTCAAGCGCATCCTTCTACAGTTAGTAAAATACAGGTATCTGTGACACCAGTGCAGACACACCAGTGTCCTGGTGGCTTTTTAATTCAGCTCTATCTGGTTTAGATAGAAAAAGATGTAATCTGTGGAGCAGGCCGTCCTGTAAACTCGAGGTTGTCTCAGCTTTTGAGTTGTACAGTCTTGTTCTCCTGCACAGTTCTCTCCAACAATATTTCTGGAGTTCAGTGGCTTCTGTGCAGCTTCATCCTCCCCCATGGGTCTGGCCCTGGGTAAGAGATGGAAACTGGCAATTCTGGCCAAGGGGAATGAAGCCCAGACCCCCTGCACTCGATTGCCTTTGCAGGAGGGGCAGAAGCTGCAGTTGTTTTGGTTTTGCCGTGGTGGACAGGAGAAGGCAGATGAAAACCAGCTTTTGTGAACAGGATAACCAATAAAAGTGTACTTTATTTCAGTCTTACAGATACAGGGGCAAATGTATCATTGACATGAACTCTGCTGGTTTCACTGGAGTTTGAACAGGCCTTGATTTGGCTCTTTAGCTGTGACAAGAATGATGGGATCCTAAGAAAGGGTGTGTGCCTGCCCCCGCTCCCTCCATCCCCCTTCCTAGCCATGTCCTTGGGGAGCCTGAGGTAATTTCAGCAGGCAGAGAGACCTTACGCACAACAGCAGGGTAGGGAGCTCTGCAGAACTTCGTAAATGACAGTAAGCCTGAGATGATGAGTTGTGTGGGAGCTGGAGAGCACTGAGCATCCAGAAAGCACATTAGCATCTGGGCTGAAGGCTGGTGGGGGACTGTAGGAAGGGCAGAAGCAGAAAAAAATTACGGGCTTGAGCAAAGCAGGTTCTGACAGCATGCAAAATGACTTTGTGGGGACTTGGCCGGAGTTCAGGAATGGCTGGTAGGCACTAAATTTAGGGACGGTGAGAGGAGAGTGACCTAAACCCATTCCCGTCCCATCGGAAAGGCTAACAGAGGCCGTGGCAGCCTAGAACATCCTTGTGCCAAGCAGATGGATGCCAGGTGGTAATGCAGCCACTACCAGAGAGGTGAGCGAGGGGAAGAGAGTTGGCGACCGTGTGGGACACAGTCTCTCCCTCAACACTTCCCTTTCCATTGCCCATTCTGGGCCAAGCTACTCCATCCGCTTGACTTTTCCTGCCAAGTCCTAGCTGAGAGCATGGCTAAACTTCTTGTGGCATCGGAGGGGGAAGGTTGGATGCTCAGGCTGAGCCCTGTGTTCTTCTATTTCCAGGCTTCCCTGCTGCCCTTGTATTGCAATGGTGGGGACAGGAAGAAGGCACTGGGATTGGCTTTGATTCCCCCTATCCCCAGGACAGCAAAACCATCTGATGAGGCTCCTGTCAGAAGCGCAGTGCCTCCCCCAAGCTCTCAGCACCTGGTTTTCCAAAAGGCCCTGGAAATGAGGTAAGCCAAGGTGTCTGCTTCTCCAGTATGCCATTCACCCTGCACTTCTTGTCTCACGAGGTTCTTTTCCACAGTCAGCTCTCCAATAGATTTATGCAAACTTCGATGCGTTTACCATTTGGTGTGTCTGTGATGATCCAGCACAGTGTCAAATGTGACATCCTATGCTCTAAGAGTGGTGGTGGGGAGGAGGAAGCAAGACTTAAGAGAACCTTAAAAGCAGGTGCTCTTGCTGAACTCTGATACCGATTCATTCTGTAATCTTTGTGGCACCATTTGGGAACTGTATTGCATAGATCTGAATGCAGCATCTGGTTTTGTGTGTGATCTTTGCCAATTTCTGTACCTGCAAGAGTATGTTAGTACAAGTATTGGCTGTTGTACAGCTGTCTGCAAATTCAGGTGCTGCTTCTGTAAATGTCAGTTGTAACTTCACTGTGTCTGGGCCTTCACTGTGAAATGAGAGCCCAGATGAATCTTGGTTTATAGATGTAGAATCCTGTAGATATTTAATATTTACCTATGTGTTTAAGATCAAGGGGGACAAGGTACTAGAGAACAGTTACAGGGCTGTAACTGATGAAAAGCTATTTGCTTGGCTATGTGTGGGGAAATCTAGCTGTCAACCTTATCCTAGTTACAACAATGAATAAGGAGACACAGAAATATAGTTCCATGCTTCAGCATGACTTTTAAAGTGCAATCTGAATACACTTACCTACCCGTTGAGTTGGAAAAACCTTTTTTCATCTGGGAAGATCAGGGAGGTGTAATATCATTCTAAGGAGACAGCAGTGGTATTACCATGTGTAACAAGAACTGTCGTCAGCTGAAGTCATGACCAGGCAAAGTTAGGCTTCTGCAGCAGTGTAAAGGTAGCTGGCTTAAATGCTCTTGCTGACGCAGAAAGGATGTATGTAACAGTGAGAGCCGTTTAGCTCCGAAAGGAGAGACAGCAGAATTGGATAGAATTGGCCCAAGCTGACGAACGACTCCTGTGTTTCAGCTAGAGCTTGATGAGCTCCGTGTGACTCCAGCAACCAAAAGTGTAATAGCAGTTAATCGGCTCTGCATGTTCCTGGTTTTATGGGTTGCATTTCCTCCTTCATCAGGAGAACTGTGCTAAGAAAGTTTGCCTCCTTTAACGCTACCCCTCCTTCTCTTTCTATCTCCTGATATATTCTTTTGTTGTTTTTCTTAAGGCCAAGATCAGGCAGCAGAATTGAAAAGACCATTAAGTTTCAAGGTAGGTATAGGGCATGGCTGTCCTAAATTGACCACAGGAATCCTGACCCATGGGTGGCACTGTGAAAGTCTGGTTGAAAACCATCTTGTAACTTTTTTCCAATTCCTTCATGTGCTCAGATGGCTCCCCCAGAACCCAGTCCCTGGGAAATGTGCTCTGGTGATGCAGTGAAAATGACTCCAGCATGGGGTTATGAATGGCAGGAGCTGGAGGGGCTACCTTGAGGCCCTGGAAATGCACATCAGGGAAAGTAAACGTCCCTGCACAGATTAGAGAAAAAGAAGGCATTTCCCATGAAATGAGAAATGTTCCCTCTCTTTCCTCGTACACTTGAAGGAGAAAACCTTCCCTTGGTGCAGTTTCTGAGCCAAGTTCTTTGAGATAGGAGGGAGATTAATCAACATTGCCTCTTTTTGCTCTGGGAGAAAGAGTGAAACCCTGTGTGATAGAAAGTCCTTGTGAATTTTCCATTTACAGAGAAAGAGACTTTAAAAAGGATCCAGCCTATGCAGGATCTGAACGTTCCGTCCTCTTAAAGCACAAGCCTAAATTCAATGCTGAGTAATGAACCGAGGTTTCCTTTGTGCAACTCACTGCCTCGAACCACATATGCTAGTTTTATGATTACCAATCCCTTCCCCTACTCTATCTGCATATGGCAGTATTGCAAACTGAGGCTGGGGCAGGAGATGCCTACTGGCTTCTCCCCCCTCCCCGCCCCACATTATCACTAGCAATAAGAGTTCTGCAAGACAAAATGCAGTGTCTGGTGGGTCTGTGTCAGCCAGTACTTTTCAGTTGAAAACCTCAATGACACCGTTGCTGTTCCTTTGTCATCTGCGGGTTTGTAGCAATAGGAAAGATGAGACTTTAACAAATAATTTTGCTGATGTGGAAAAAGGTATAAGGTCCACACGTCCCTCAGCTCTGGGTTATTTCTGCCAAATAATGGACATGCCTGATAGGAATGATTCCTTTATTGCTGATACGCAGCTAGGAAGCTGAGTACAACTAGGGAGGATTATTGTTGAGTAAGGAAGGTGACATTTTTGCTAGATACATTCTGGACTAGAAATGAGCTGTATCATGAAGCCCCTTTTTTCTCTTACTATTGAACTGACCATTCTGTAGGGACAAGACCTCCTGATTTAAGAAAGTTCTTTTTTTTTTTACTTCTCGGCTATCACGTGATTTTATCATCTGGAAGCCATGTGAGGAATGATTAGTTCTCTGACTTTTAACAGCAGTGTTGGGATGTATTTCAGAATGAGCTGCACTGTGCTATTCCCATGAAGAAAACCAGCCTTTAGTCAGGCTGCCTGGAAGGTGGGCTGATCTGCTACAATTTAGAATGAAACTCCTTGGGGAAAATGAATTCTCAAGCTTCAAGAACACAATTCTGGTTTGGGTAACACTCTAGCAAGCCTAAGCTTTTCTTCAAGTGCCCTCTAAAATACTCCAGCAAAGAAGAGGAAATGTTGATTCTTGCTCTTTACAAAGGCATATAGCTATTAAAAAACAGGAGTAACTGGGAAAATGAGGATGTTTACTAAAATCAAAATGGATAGGAACAGATAAGATCCCTTTTGGAGAGGTTATATGTACCTTGCTGTTCTCATAGTCTATATCCATGTCTCATCAGAGCTCCAGCCTCTGGAACCCATCATGCCTGTTCTCCAGCATCATGTTGATGGTGGCACGAAGTCTTCTGGACATTTATGTGAAACTGTGCTGCACCCGTTAACAGGCCCCCCACTCAGCCAGACCGAGGAGGTGGATCATCTCATGAACCCTTACCTTCTTAGTGGTGACGACTTGAATCACAGCAATGGAAAGGTGAGGGCTAAGGACAGGGGGGAGCCGCCTTCCTTTTCAGTGACTGCTCAGTGCTTAGCACAAAATATCACTGAAAATCACTCTCTTCCCCTCTTGGGGAGCAGCTTCTCTTGGGAATACATTTGACAGCTGCAGAGCAATTGCTTGAGTATTTTCACTGGTGCAGAAGTCAGTGGATGGGACATGGTGCTAAAGTTACACGAGAAGTATTCTTTATGTAGGAAGGCCAATTTAGAGCAGATCTGCATGGCAGAGCAAGTTCCACATCAGTGAACATGTGCAAAGTGCATGCTTGGAAGCACAGAAGCAAAGATTATACTGTTGAGTGTAATAAGCAAGGCTGCCAACTGAAATGGAAGAGCTTGCTGCTTCTTGGTTACCTTCTTGCTGTATCTCACAGCACTCTCTTTCTCAATTCTTCTATTCATTCAGACCAATGTTTCTCCAACTGGTTTTCACATGACTCCTTTTTCGGAGTCATGTTCTCAGAGAGTGTCTGCGTCCTTCAGAAGCAAGGAAGTGAGAAGCAGCTGCAATTACTGTCTGTGAGTGTTAAGACAGAGCAAATTACCTCTCACTGCTGGTTACTGCAGATGGTTTTTATTCCCCCGCCCCGGGCTGTTGGAACTGAACTGCCTGTTCACTGGTAATGTGAGCTCTTCATATGTCTTGAAGCACTCCTCGGACGCTCTTGGTTCAAGCAGGGCTTCCGGACATAGCTTGAGAAACAGTATCTTGGACCAGTGGAAGGTTATGGCAATGAAGTGTTATACATCACCGGGTGTAATTGTACGCCAAGGTGAGGAAAGGAGAAACTTCTGGAACTATGGGGATGTATATGGAGCTGCTTTGAAGACTATGACGCTCTACCACCATGTTCCTGATGAGGTGTTGTATATGGTTTGTGTATCAATCTTTATGCTTCATGATGTATTTTCATTGCAACTAGATCCACGTTACCTTGTCCAAGTCAGATCAAAAGAAAACCGACCAGAAGCGAATGAGAGACATGGAGATCTTGCGTAGAGAGAGGGAGAAAGAGAGAGAAAAGGAAAAGGACTTGCAGCTTCCTACACAGAGTGTTGACCCTGGGGATACAGCCAGAGAAAGTAAGTGGTTACTCTAGTTGTGGGCCTTTTTGTTCACTTGCTTGCTATTTGAATAGTGTTTCAGATGTCTATGAAATCACACTGGAAGGCTGTTACAGTTGCATCTGAGTGAAAGGTAGAATAGATTTATGTCCCTTTTCCAAAGAAAACTACAGAGGCAATGCAGCATCTTGCCCGTGGCCCACACTGAGGCAGTCACAGAATATCACCTTCCCCCCTCCTCCTATCATTTGACTAGATAATTCTGTCTTGCAAACTGCACTGGGGCTTCAGACTCTCTGAGTCCAGCCTCCAGGAAAGGAGAACTGGGTGAGCCCAAAAGAATGCTTTTCAACCAAGGTGCACACCAAGGTGGAAGAAAGAAATGAAACTATTTCTGATTAAACCACAAAAGATCTTGATCACGTGATAGGAGAGATTATCCTGCTCACACCACTCCCTGCTGAGGGTCTTGCGTTGCAGAGCTGCGCTGGAGCCCTTAGCCAGTGCTTATGTTCTAGCCACATGAGCAAGCAGTGCTGCTGACTTCATCCCAGCTGATGGGCTCTGATTGTACTGCTGCATGTGCTGGCATGAGTGCAGCAGCAGGGAACTGAAGGCAGCACTCAGCCCAAGGGCATTGGGCGAGGTTACCTGCTCTTTTTCTTGCTATTATTTTGTATACTGGCGAGGAGGGCTGAGGTAGGAGCCCCAGAAATGTAACTTCCCTATCCAGCCTCTGAAACAGGAAAGCCAAAGAAAAGCAGTAGTGATCTTTCCTCATTTCTTAGGGAAAGGATCGCTGCATTCGGGTTTAAACTAAATGATATTTTTACAATCAGGGTGATGAAACACTGGAACAGGTTGCCCAAAGAAGTTGTCAATGCCCCATCATTGGAGGCCTTCAGTGTCACGTTGGATGGGGCCCTGAGCAACCTGATCTAGTTGCTCATTGCATGGGGATTGGACTAGGTGACCTTGAATGTTCCCTTCCAACCCACACTCTTCCATGATTCTATGATTGCCGTCCACTTCAGCGTGCAACTGTTATGCTGGGAGTCGTTTGGGACAACAAAGGGATGTTTCCCAGCTCCAGCAAGATTTCTAGCCCTTTCCCAGCCCATAGCTGTCAGTCTGCACTTTACAAGGTCCTTTTTGGTCTCTGCAGGCTTTGGCCCACCGCCTGTCAATGGGACAGCTTTCATTTCCCCCAGCACGAGCAACGCACGCAGAGAGCACGCTGGTACTGCCTTGAGGAAGCGGGTCAACGGGCCGTTACTCCCCAGCATCCCTGTCATCAGCCAGGGTGACAGCTTCCTGCGCAAATCCTCAGGTGAGGGCAAGGAGCACAAACTGCCTCATTCTTTAACCACAGGTAGGATCTTAGGTCCAAAGACTGTTCCGAGGATTGACAGCAAACCTGCTTTGGATCCATTCCAGCTTAGTGATACTGGAGCAGTTGGTGCTTACAGATGTGTTGGAAAGTTCAGCTGAATGCAGTAGTGGTAAAGCCTTAAGCTCTAGCTTTTGTCCACACCAAAATACAACACTGCTGCTGGGAGGCAGCTGTAACTGCAGGGCTGAGCTCTAGTGCATCCTGGCAAGGTGCTCACTGTGCACGTATGTGTAGCACCGTGATCAATTAGCCAGTCACCATCTTGGCCCTCTGCCTGTGTGGCTGTCTGGTCTCCAGCCATCTTTTCTGCTGTCACAGCAAGGGTTGTCTCTGCATGGAAGTTAGTGACTTGATACAATCCTAGTATTGCACCTACAAGGGCCTAAGAGCTTCTAGGCTCTCCCATGCTACTGCCTGCCACCCAAGGTGGGAAGAAGCAGTGCCTTTTCTGTCCCCCCATCCAAATATGGTGTCTGTGTGTAGCAGATGACATACAGGAGAGGCTGCCCGGTGGTCCCAGGCTTCTTGCTACGTTCAATAAATGTACAGCAGATAGTGAGTCTGTAGGGATTCTTGTCTCTCCTTTCTGGGTAGGCTACCTTGTGTTGTGATCCTCAGTAGCATGAGTTAAGAGAAAGGGAGCTAGAAATAATACTTGGAATGTTCTTTTCTAGTGATGCTACTCTGATTTTCAAAATTGACTAGAACTATCCTGACGTGGCTCTCCATTCATATTGAATATAGTTGTGTATGTCTACATACTTGTGCAGTGACATCACTGATGGCATTGACAGGAATATTGGTGACATCCAAATTAGTCCCCATCTGAATAATTTTGATTTTACAGTTTCTCCATCCTCTGCACTTTGTAGAACGTGCAAGGTAGCATAAAGCCCCTACAGAGTCCATAGCAGTTCATCTAGATTCTGTACAATATTTATGCTCAATACTTTTAGACAGCTCAGGTGTTTTCATTTACACTTTAGAAAATGAGCTTTTGAGTGCAAGACATGAAATTTTTGACCTATGGTACTTCTGATGACAAATAGGTTTTATAACAAATGCATTTGTCATCTGAATTTTCTTATAGCTTGTATATTTATCATCAAGAGAATGTGTTTGCCAACAATTTGCATTTACATTTACATATTTTTATTCTCGGTTCACATTTGGAAGGCTTTTTTGTCACAACTATCTAGCCTAGAAATTGCGTTTTTCCACAAGAGAAAGCTTCGGCATTGCAGAGTTTGCAAACAAGTACATTTGATAACAAATAAATTTCACCTCAGCATCTTCAAAATACAGCTAGTGGGTACCTCTGAAATAGTAAATATTCATACCACTGGGAAAATAGCAAAATCCATAAACTACTACTTTCCCAACAGTATGCTAAAATGTACGTGCACTCAGCTGCCTTCTGTCTAGCATATTTGAAGTAAATGGAAGCAGAGGCACTGTTGGGTTTAAAGGGTCAGGTCTCACTGTTCCCTGGTGGCTGCTCCTTGGGGTTTCGCCCGAGCCCAGCAGGACTCAGTTGTTCAGGCTTGGTGCTCACTGGGGGCATCTGGAGATGCTTCCTGGAAAGTTACAGGGCGTCTCTGTTCCCAGTGCTCCAGGTAACGGGGAGGTGATACAGGGAGGTATGTGCACATCTCAGGAGCTTACTCCCGGGGTAGCAAGTTTCCCTGGGCAGCACTGGCTCCCCGTGAGCGTGAGCTCTGTGGCACTGTGAATCTGCAAGCTGGCTCTGCTACCTGTATGGACTTGGGAGCTGGCTCTGGGTGTGCAATTTCCAGGTTTAAACAAGGAGCTGGTGCCCAGCTGGGGGTGACTGGGAGGTGGTTGGGTGCTGGGGAAAGTAATGAGCCAGACAGCAGGGAAGTCTCTGAGCCAATGCCGGTCTGCACCCTTCTGTAACCTTGGCTGGGAGACTGGCTTGCAGTCTGCTCAGTGGCGGGTGCCTTGCCTCGGGCTGTCTGACCCTCTCCTTACAGCAAACTCGCTGCTGGACGATGATCCGGATTTCCTGGAGCGGGGAGACGAGTCGGAGTGTGGGTTCGCCTGGGAAGCCAGACCCGTCGCTAACCCACAGCAGGAGCTGCTCAGAGCACTCACGGGGCTCAGCAGCGACAACTGGTAAGATAGACCCCTGTTCACTGTTTCTCCCACTCAGGGTAAAGCTAAGCTGGAAGGGTTTTTCCTAGTGCCTCTGAGCCCAGATGTCCAAAGGGAACTAGGGAAACTACTCCAAAGCAGTCACAGTACGACGGTGTGAGAGCAGCCTTTTATTTGCCTTGGTCCTAATAGCAGTGCTACAGCTGGAGCAGGTCCATGCTGGTGCCTAGCTTTGCCTTCTGGTCCATGTCACTGCAAACAAAATCTTCAGGGAAGAGAGAAAGTTGTGGAACAATAGGATTTGCTGCCTGAAGCGAGAAACAGGACAGAAGTGGTTTTGAGCTTTGAGTCTTGGGGGCCTCAGGTCACTGCCCCAGGTGGGACTGAGTAAGGATTTCTCTCTGGCCCTGTTGTTGGCAGCAGCAGCAGGAAGGAGATGGGGCTTGCCTGTGACCTCCTGCACGTGAGCCCCAGGAGCGCTTCCAGGGAGTTCTTATTTCTACTTCTAAAGAACATGCTGCTGTTGTGGGAGTTACTTTAAGCAGGGAAAACGCAGAATTTTGGCTCTTCTTGCCCAGGTGTGCAGTCTTTTAGGACATCCTGCTTATTTTTTGTGGGATGGGGTGGGGCAGGGGTGAGGGCGTGGTGGGGAGTGGGGTGGGCGGACTAGATTGCAGAGTGCAAACTCATCTATGGAGTGGCAGGGCAGAGTCTCACTCCTGAACTGCCCTCTGGAGATGGCGAAGAGGGAAAATGCCCCAGTAACAGCCAGATGGGACTGTATCTCAGGGACGGGCTACAGGGAGGGTGCAAGCAGCAGAAACACGGCACAGTCTGCCAGCTTCTAGGAAGCAGCAACATAGGGACTTGACATGCCAAGGATTTCAGAAAGGCTGTCTTGTTTAAGGGCACAAACTAGCCCGTCCCCTCGGAAAGCATCTATTTGCCTTTTGGATTTATGTACGCTTTTGACTGCCACAGCATCCTGTGGCATGAGTTCCACGATGTAATTCAGTGCTGTATGAGAAGCACCTCCCTGTGTGTGTTTGAGCTGACACTCTGGTCATTTCAGAGGGTGCTGCCTAGTTCTTGGGTGGTGAGAATAATCAATCTTTTTGGTAATTGCCTTCCAGGGAGCAGAAGGCAGAGGGACTCCTCAGCATCAGATGCCTGGCTGTCTGCCACTCAGAAGTCCTTCTTTCTAAACTTCATGACGTTTCCTTGGCAGTTACCAAGGAGGTAAGAACGTTGTGTTTAATTGCGTCCCTTGTACCTGGGTTGTAGAGTAGCTATGTGCTTGTTCATCCACATGTGTGCTCAGTGTCTGCCTTCATTACTCATTTTTCTGTCACCTGTCTCTATGATGTCTCTGCACACAGAGCTATATTTACGGGACACCTGTCTCTCTCCTCTTTGAGCTAGGTGTCATTCTAACGCAATACACGAATGCAGAATCTGAGACACTAATCAGGTGATTTGCAACAGCCCATGTCTCTGCTCAGGCTGTAATTAAACACTGCAGCTTTTGCCTCCCAGCTTCCTCCCACTTCCTCCTCCTCCTCAGCATCCTGGTGGATTGACTGCAGGTACTTATTTTCCAGTGTTTCCTGATCTCTTCTCGTCCTTCCTTTCTGCGTGCTTTTTGGTAATTTGGCCTTTCCATTGACCCGTTGCCTCCGTGCACCAGTGGAATTTTGCACTGCAGCCACTGGGTGCTTGGAGAGGCCTGGCTGTGGATTTGCAGGGCAGTCGCGCACAGCTTCACTATCTCAGCTCTCAGTTAACGGAGAGTTCTCAGCCTAAACTCCTTCCTAACCTCTGTGCCTACATTTCCAACTTGACACTTGTCTGGGGCCTGAGCCAGCTGCCTTGTACTCTTACTACATGACTGCCAAATATATTAAGTTTTTCTTTGCTTGCAGAAGACAGTAAGACTTAGCTCATTTCCATGAAAATCAGTCCTTCTATCCAATATTTAATGATGTGGGAGGCTCGAATGCCCCTTGTGTTATTTTTGTTTAGATATGCAGTACTCGGATTCTCCCACTCTGAGATCAGGGTTAGGAGAAGCAGCCCTTTCAGCTTCGCTCATCTGATTTTTATATTACTTTTATATTTCTGAGGAAATTTCCTCCTCTCGGTTCCACACACTCATGTTCAGAGACATCTTTCAGCTTTCATTTCTCCCCAGTCCCAGATTTTGCTTTCACATGCACTTTTAGCACTTGTGTTGTTCGTTTTTCTTAACAGGCACAGCTAAGTCGGGCAGAAAGAACCCCTGGTCTGTCCTTCAGAGTATCTTTCAAATGTAGCACATGACTGAGATGCTTCTTCCTCAGCCCTGTGGGAGAGCCTTTTGGAAGCAGGGATCACTCCAGAGCAGCGCTGAATCATAGCTGTAATTTCCTGTGATCTCCAGGACCCTTGAGTGCCTAGAGTCCAACAGCCAGGGTTCTCCTGAGCAGATGGACCCAAGTCCCTGCTGTGAATTAGTCTGTAGACTTGGGCCCGTATTCTCTGTTTCCTGGTCAAATGCTCAAACTGCCAGTGCTGCATTTCTGCGCAAGGGGAAAGTACTCCTTTTCCTCTATCTTGTCGTTATTAATTGTGCCTTTATAGTTTAAAAGCAGCCCTTGCTTTAATTTGTTTCTTTGTTTTCAAGAAAAGTGTCTAATCAAAGCAGTGTACATTATGGGCTAAGTAGCACACTTTGTCCCAGGTGAAACTCCTTCTAAGGCCTGCACCCTCATTCAAATTGTATTTTATAAGTGGGCCTGAGGCCAGAGAAGAAGTTGGTATCAGAGTAAGTGTGTGTCTGTGCTTGTGGTCGTCTGTGTTTACCACGCTCTCATGTTCCACCTGTACACAGCAAGAAGTCTTGTTGCGTCCTGGGACCTTTGTCTAGGGGAACATATTTTCTTTAAAAGGCGATTCTTACATTTCCCTTCATGACTTCCCCAGGTGAACAACCTCCGCTCAAAGGTGTCTCACTTTGCAATCATCACTCTTGGAGAGCTCTTCAGGACCATGAAGAAGCACATGGACCACGAGGTGGATGGGGTTGCTCAGGTCTTGCTCCAGAGGATGGGGGACTCCAGCAAGTTCATTCAGAAAGCAGCCGATCAGTCCCTGGATATCATGGTGAAGAGTGTGACTCCTGCACGAGCAGTGACTGCTCTCAGGGCTAGTGGAGTCCAGTATGTAGTTCTTCTCTTAGTGGTATCCTTCCCCTGAAGTTGTGTGGGCAGGGGGAAGGGATGGGAGGCAGAAGGGGAAGGGATGGGGGGCAGAAGGGGAATGATGGGAGGGAAGGGTCCTTTCTCCTGCATCTTCTGTGAACGTGGCAATTCGATTCTCTGATCAACCTTGCTGCTTTCTTCTTGACATCTCCTTCTGTCCTACTACAGCCTATTTTTTCTCACAGTCAACACTGCCTAGATGTGGGGAATGATGGGGAAGTGAAAGTCCCTGCAAAGGGTGGTGACATAGCCTGTGGCTTTGCGGGAAGAGGGACAGTGGCAATTCCAGCAGTGAGCGCCCTTTAATAGTTCACAACACTAACCACAGAGGTGCTGGGAAAACCCTGCATCATCATTACGCAATTAACTGGAGAAATAAGGAGGCTAATTGCTGGGACATGGAGCAGATCAGGGAGAACCTGCTGGGTGTGGCACAGCTTGCACAGCAGGTGCAGCTCCTGATGAGTGGAGTCTGACTGTTGTGCCCTTAGAGCTCCACTTTCTATACAGATTCACGCTCCATGTTAGCCTTGAAATGGTGAGTCACTTTACAGGCGCCTTCACAGGCCGACTCCCATGGGACAGCTGAAGCAAATGCTGCCTTTAATATTCGTGCTGTGCTTGATAGTTTCAGATATGCACCCTCTAGAAAGGACAACCTGGCTGAAATGACTGCTATCCTTCTGAAAAGGGTGAAACATTCAAATGTACCTCTTGCCAAGCCTGAAAGAACAAACTGGCTGCATTGCTGGATATTCTCCAGCTTCATACCCCACAGGGTTTTCATCCCCATGTTTGTTTTTTTTTTTTTTCAAGGGTCTTCAGATTTTTGAGGCAGACAGGTGGAATCAGCTTCAATCCTGCTGCAGCTCTGTCTGTGTAGTGGGAGCCCTCTGACGAGTTAGCACGAATTGTCTTCCATTTCCCTCTTTGTCAGAGATAATTTGGGGAAAGAAATTGAGTATCAGATAGTCCAGGGAGATTGAATTCCTCCCTCTTCCTTGCAGGTAGACCCTCGGTACAATGCCAATTTTGGTTTTCTCTGAGGACAGAATCTTCTGCAGGTGGCTAAAATTGCAGGGAGAACACGTGCCTCCTTCCCCCAGCAATGAGGGGGAGCATGCTATGACTGAGGCCTGTGCTTCTGGCCCTCCTTTTCCCTCTGCTACCCTGTCTGTTCTCTTGTTTCCAGGCACCGCAACGTCCTGGTGCGGAGGTGTGCGGCCAAACACCTACTGACTGTGATGGAGCAACCTGGAGCCGAGAAGCTCCTGTCGGGTGCGCGTGACAGGACTGAGCTGCTGGTGCGCACAGTGGTGAGCCTTGCTCAGGACTCTCACCAGGACACAAGGTGATGATCTTCATTTCACCTCCTAAAATAGGAAAACTGTTTACTATCTGTCAGGACATGACTGTACTGGATAACATGAGCTTGTCCAGCAAGAAGGACCATGCCAAATTCCTGTGACTTGAATGGTTCTTTATTCAGATTGGCTGAGCTCAGATTACTCACTCAAACAATTTGACTTGGTCTTATGTGCACAATGCCAAGCTGAAGCGTTGGCTGATATCCATCACTGAAGGATCCCAAGCTTTTATTTCTGATAAGGTTAAGGCTGTCCTAGAAAAATTCCAGCTGTCTTTAACCAACGTATTCAGTCTTTCTACACCCTTTCTGCAGATTTAGTTACCTATGATGGTCACAAATTTTTCTTCCCAGTCATCATTGTATGATGTTGTTGTCTCATGGCTGAAAGACCTCCACAATTCCTCTTTAAGATAGGTGTGGTTTCATAGGAGCAAAACCAAACCAAACAACCTTATTTTATTAAATTCCTATGAATGGATGGCAAGAACACATGAGCAACTCATTGCCTTTGTGCACAGATGTAGTAAGGGTAATAAATAGTAAGCATAAGGTGACTTGTCCTTGCTTTTCTGCCAGTTAAAGGAAGGTAAATTACAATTTCAGAGTGAAATTGTATTTTCCTGGGGCCCATGTTCTCCTCTTTCCTCTTGCAGTCAGCCGGCAGCATTGTGCAGTGACTCCAAGTGGAGGAAAATAAGCCCTCTTTGCTGAATAGGTCATACCTTCTCATGAAGGTATTGCACATGATGAGTTTAAAATATCAGCTTATTCTCTTGACACGTGTTCTCTGTTTAGTCCCAGGGAAGAAAAGACAGTAATAGTCTGTGTTCATTTCTCTCTTCCCTGTGTTAGGTCTTATGGACGGAAGATGCTGAATGTGCTGATGAGTCATAAAAAGTTTCAGAGGTATTTGAAACAGTCTGTCCCCTCACGTGACTTGGAAGATGTTATGAAAACACTGAAGCAGAAAGTAAGTGCTTGGCAGGAGAAATGTCTCCTTTATCTAAGTACTGACATTGCTAATATGAGATGAAATATACCTAATCTTTTCTTTATCGCACTCTTCTTCCACTGAATCATTTTGCTCCTGGGAATGAACTGTTGATCCTCAGCCTGTTTATCTGCAGCCAGTGAAGGAACTAGTATCATTAGAAATAAAGTGGGTGTATTCTGAATATCAGCCACAAATAGGGAAGTAGGAGAAAATGGTTTTACCTTCAAGCGTAAAAAACCCAACACTAGACCCTCCCCAAATGAAGCAAGGAGGTGAGAATAGTGCTTCGGAAGACAACAGAGTCTTAGCAAGAAAGAAGTAGCAGTGCCAGGAAAATTTCCAAACAGAAAAGATGCACAAGGCAATCATAATTAGTACCTATATTGTCTGTATTCTGGCAATACTGCCCCGCTGTCAGGCACTGTGGAGCTGGCAGAAGCTTTGTGAATTCAGCATTCAGTGGAAAATCATCCCTTTTTTTCCATTCTTCTCTATTGACATTCGAGAAAGGAATGTGCCTTTCTGCAGGAACAGGGAGAGTGAGTGGGACCCAAATCCACTTGCAACGCAATGGGCCACCCTCCTGACAGTCCAAAAGTTTCCCACTATTCCAATTAAGGAGGCTGGTTCCCTCCCAGTTGTCATTATTCCCATTTGTGCTCAAGACTAATGAATTCAGGCTTTTATATGGTTGCCCATCATGGTAGCACCAAAGCCTTGGGTTACTGAAAACAAATCATAGACATCACTGAATCTCTGGCCTGTCTCCCTGTCTAAGTTTTGAAATGTCTTCCTAAGCCTTTCTTGGTAGCAGTGCTCCTGGTTATAACTTGTGTTTGAAACAAGTAATTTCTTAGTTTATCTTCCATAGATTAATGTTTTTTTTATATCTGCATAGGGCAGAGAAGACCATAAATGTGAACTTCCACCTCTGAAGGACCCCAGGCAGTCTAGGAAGAGCAGCTCGATGACGGCCCAGCACAACCCGCCTTCTAACGGAAGGTACTAAGCACTTCTGTTATATCTGACAGAGCACATGGCCAGCTTTACATGTCTCTTCCTTAGTCAAATCTGGTGGAGAGAAGCTGTGCCAGAGATTGCTTCCTTGCCCTACAAACCTTTGTCCCAGTCCAGTGTCGGGGGAGGTTTCGATATGATCCCAAGAGTGAGGTTAAAACACCAAGGAGGTCAAATGCCGTACACCCAAAGCAGTTTTTATTCTTCAAAGTGAAGAGGGGTAGCGATGGGACAGAATGGAAGGCAAAGACAGAAATCAGGCAAGTGTCTGGAATAGAGTCGCAAGGATAGTCACCACCATGGATCCAGTGGTGTCCCGGTGGTCCTCAGTCTTCAGTTCTTCGGTGGTGGGTGCACACGCAGCAGAGTTTTCTGTTGCCTTTGAAGTTCATCGTATCAGGTGATTAGAATATCTGCCCACCTTTAGTTTTTCCTCTGGTCCCTCAGGTTTTTGCTGACTTCATGCTTCATGGGCATGTAATGCTCGCCTCTTATCGGTCCATTAGCAATGCATGCATGGTGTCTGGCAGAAACAATAGAGTCACAAAGGGGTACACGATGGAGTTAAGTGATAAATGTTTGGTTTCACACAGTCCATGTCTCCCCCTTTGAGGCTTACCTAAGGAGTTTGACAATGCCACTGCAAGGGAGTGGGGAGTGCCTCCTTCGATATGCTCCTGCTTCCTTGGGTGACATTCCTTAGACTAATCCAAAGGCTGCTGCTTGCCCTTGAGGTTTGCAGAGACTCAAGCAAGCTTTGAGAGAGTCATTTCACATATCAGTCTCTCACAATCCTCTATGATAAAAATTGTCTACTTCTGCATTAGGCTGAACACAAGTTCTCTGGCTTTCCACAAAAACTGAGAGAGGAAGAGACAGCCACTGACTGTAGCTCAGAAGATCCACTGCAGTGGCGAGCAAAGTGTTGTGGAGGCTGTGAGAGGGTCACGCCTGTCTCCTTTGACTTGGGACAAGTAATTTCATCAGGCTATTCCTATCTGAGTGGAGTCTTTAGATGTGTGTTTTCATGAGAAGGCCCAGTCTAGAACTAAGATGCCATTCCCAAAAATAGCACTTTCCATGCATGTGGCTTGGCTTGGCTGAATCATGGCTTTGTGACCCTCAAACAGCACCAGCAAGACAATTCCTGAGTAGTTCTGGTCAAAAGACAGCTCAGTGTGGACTTTTTATGTAGCTTTTCAGGTCATTCAGACCCATTACTAGTTGTCTGATGGACAGCATGTTTTTTTTCCCCTGTGCTGCAATCAGCATGCAAGATAGGAATGTGGTACTTGCTGTCTCCCCCTCATGCCAGAGGGAGATCTACTTGTACCTGTTCTCCTCTGATAACAGAGTGGATTTATTTAGCTCTGTTGTGCTCAGTGGTGGCAGGAGGGTGACCACAAGCCTCACTAGCATAGTTGGGATTTCCCCATGCTCAGTCAGAGAGAGGCTGATCCAAGAGAATTGTTCCCACTGGCTTTGTTAAGCTGTGGATACAGCAGGTAGGGAGGCAATAAGGTGAGCGTAGAGGTGGGATGTCTGGCTTCTATTTTCATCTCTGTGTTGTGGTTTAACCCCAGCTAGCAACTAAGCCCCACACAGCCAACCACTCCCTCCCCGCCAGGTGGGATGGGGAAGAGAATCGGAAGGTTAAAAGAGAAAACTTGTGAGTTGAGATAAAGACAGTTTAACAGGTAAAGCAAAAGCCACATGTGCAAGCAAAACAAGGAATTCATTCACTGGTTCCCATGGGCAGGCAGGTGCTCAGCCATCCCCAGCAAGGCAGGGCTCCATCATGCGTAACAGTTACTTGGGAAGACAAAACACCATCCCTTCAAACGTGCCCTCCTTCCTCCTTCTTCCCACTGGCTTCTATGCTGAGCGTGAGGCCATATGGTGTGGGACATCCCTGGGATCAGTTGGGGTCGGCTCTCCCAGCTGTGTCCCCTCCCAGCTCCTTGTGCACCCCCAGGCTGCTCGCTGGTGGGGTGGGGTGGGAAGCAGAAAAGGCCTTGACTCTGTGTAAGCAGTGCTCAGCAATAGCGACAACATCCCTGAATTATCAACACTGGTTTCAGCAGAAATCCAAAACACACCCCATACCAGATACTGTGAAGAAAATGAATTCTACCCCAGCCAAAACCAGCCCCTACGCTTACTGATCCGCTGGATCCTTTCAGACATGGCCCTTAATCTCTCAGGGCAGGATCCATCTGCTCAGATGCATCTGAGCTATTTCTCCAGATTCCCATACCTGTTGTGGAGAGACTTCTCCAGAGTAACTAATTTCCTTATAATACAGAGAGCTCCATAAAATGAGGCATTTAAACTTTGAAGTAGTGCCTATTTTTCCTCACAAAGGGATGCTAGATGAGTTCCTGGGAAGACATCTGAAGATAAATGAGATGAATCCCATCCTCGGTGCCTTGGTTGTTCTGAGTAAGCACTAGCAATGTTACTTGCAGATTCCCTCCTGGAATGATTGTCATGAGATCGAATTCTTTTTTTCAGATCAGGATCTAGCTGAAACACATCATTAGGAAGTCTTCTTGAGATATTTCTCTCACAAATAACGGAAGCTGTTATCAAAAGGTCTTTCCCTGTGTTTGTTTGTCTGTTTGAGGTCTCACTCCGATGTACTGAGTTTACCCCGTCAGACAGCACGTCGCACGTCTCTTCGGGCTGCGGAAGAAACTGACCAGCTCAATGAGCTTTCCAATCTCCTGACAGCCAAGGAGTTTGAGACACGAAGGGAGGGAGTGCTGCTCCTCCTAGATCTCTGCAAAAGCAGCCCCCAGTTCGTCTCCACTAACATTGTCCGGGTATGTAGAGCCTCTCTATTGCTCCTTTCCTGTTAGCTCCCTTGCCAAGCCTGTACCAGTAAAGTTAACGCAGTGTGTCTTGGCACTACATGTAGTTTGGGACAGGCTGGTCCCCTCTTACCCAGAAGAATTTAATTCAACTCCAGACTTGAGGGCAAGTAATTTCAGTCCAGAGGGCAGGTGCCTATTGGAGCTGTTCATGAGATGATGACAGAATGTACTGTTGCTGGAGCTTCTGCTGCCTTCTACAACCAGTTAGATTGAAATAAAGGAAATCCAGCCTCGGAAAGCTTTGAAAAAGGGTTTGGGATGGGGACAGAAGTATCCGGGTGGGGTGATTTAGAAAAAAATTTTTTTTTTTTTTAGAGGATGCTCTTGTAAACTTGTCTTGTGCAGACACAACTCTGCCTGTTGAGTTCTGTCCTCATCGCTTTCCTGCTTGGGATTGTTATTCTTCCTGGTGTCCTTTCTTCTCTTTGGAAAAAGGAGGGAAAAGGCTAGAGACAGATCTTCTCTTCCTTCTCCTCCCAGCAGATGCTTTTTTCCCCTTTTTCCAAAAATGGTCCCTGATAATAACGTGGCCAGGGGACTGAACCTGCTCTAACAAGAACTGCACAGCACTTTAAACTTCAGCTGGCTACCTGTTAGCTAGACGGTCTGGATCCTGAAGAGCTCTGGATCCAGATGCAGGTTCTGAGACAGATACAACAAAACTCGGATCTCATCCAGCCACAGTTTTGGCAAAATCAAAAGTAACTATCCTCAGTACTTGAGACACTTCTATGGAAAACTGGGCATCACAAACACCTGGTTTCATGCCTCTATAGCAAAGAAACTATTTTGCCTTGTTAAAATGGGATTAATTTAGTGATTTATAGGTAAGGAGTTACACCATATGAACTAGCCGGTCCCCACCCAAACCTTTTAATAAAAGATGACAATCTTTTCAACCAGCATGAGGTTTTGCAACCACTATAGGAAAGCAGTGAAATGGTGCTAGCAAGCGCTGACCTGACAGAAAGGATTACATTCACCTTTTACATTGCTGGGTACTTGTTTCTACATCCTTTCTCGGAACAAAAACTTTGTCATTTGTTTTCTTAACAGATTTTTGATGTTTTTGTCCTGAGACTTCTGGATTGCAACAAGAAAGTGAACCAGCAGGCGCTGGAGGTGCTGGCGTTGATAATACCCATGCTCACAGATGCCTTACACCCAGTGCTACTCTCTGTGGTATCGGCTGTCATTGACAACCTGAACTCAAAGCACTCGGGGATTTATGCTGCAGCTGTGAAAGCACTGGAAGCAGCCATGGCTCACCTAGGTAAGGCTGACCTCTGACATTGGCGCTCTCTCCTCAACTGCAGCTTTTTCCATCTTGGAGTTAAGTGAACACTGAGTCTCTTGGTAGCTGTTGTCATCTGTGGAAGCATCCAGCTACTGCAAGGTGATGATGAAGTTCTGCCTGCATTCTTTCTATCCCAACCTGTTGTATGATGTTGTGATGTGCAGCTGAATGGACGCTGCTTATCCCCTGGACCGTATGTCTGATTGTTAATTCAGTAGAGAGGACATGATAGGGATTATTCTAAGCTCCTGCCAGAAGAGCATGAGGAAAGTGATTCACACCTGTCCTGCTTATTTTTCTTCCTTCCTCCTGGGAAACTGCATGCATTTGTTTTTTTTAGCAGAAATTGGATTTCTAAGATGTGCTTTCTATTAAGTTTATCTCCACTAAAACAAGAGGAAAGGAACGTGCTTTTTCCTCGAAACGCACAGTGGGAAGGCTGGTGGAGGCTCTTTGCTCTCTTTGCTGGACTTTGTTCCACACTGTGGCAGTGGCAGCTCTCCTGAGCTGATGCGTCTGGCTGTTGCTGACCTCAATATGAAAAGCTTTGAACTCAGTTACTAATTTTGCGGTTTTAGGTAGTAGTTTATCCATGTAAAGCCCAAATGAAAATGTCCTTTTGAGTTCAAAGACTGAGACCTTGAATTCAGTAAAACGCTGTGTTATGAAAGATCACAGCAGAGATCAGATGAAGGAGGAAATGCTTGTTCCATAGTCCGGCTGGAGGTCTCCACGCGTGTGGGGTTAGAGATGCCTTGGCTTCCTTCCTCCAGAATGTAAGAAGCCCATTGTCGTCCCCTTTTCAGGATGCTTGAGCATGGGGCCGCACATATGCCTGTTGATATAAAATATGTACCTGCAGTAGGGACAGGCTGAGGTCCCGATCTGCCCTGTGTCCTGAACTGTGTCTTCTGCTGCCTACCAGGGCCATGCCGAAGCTCTTGGGGATCGTCAGGATTGCTTTGGCTGTGAGCACCCACCCTGCAGAGTGCACCGTACCCTGCAGAGTGCACCTCCAGCCCATCCCATATCGCAGTCTAAATGCCGTGTGTTTGCGCGCTGTGGACTGGTAAATACAGTGGCATGTTCCTTCATGGGTAGTGCTGCAGAAGTCTACGTTGGTGGTGTCTTCATAGTTCATCAAAACAGTTTTTAACAGCCACTTTTTGGTCAGTGTATGTGGAATGATTCCCTTGTGACCTGCTCTAGCAACTGATGGTACCCATGTGGGGAGTATGTATTTCTTAGAAGCTCTCCTGAAGTTAGCTCCCTGCTTTCCCTCACCTGCCACAGATTTCAATTTGCCTCCAGTAACCTAAAAATAAGGGAGTCAGAAAATCAGAAGTGAAAGAAGCGCAGTAGACTAAAATGGAATTCTACTAATGTTTTTTTCTCTCCCATCAGTTTTATGGTTGATATTGATGACTGACAACAGTGAGTACAGAAGGGTCTGATAGGACTGGCTGCAGCCAGGGGACACAGTTGAAAACTGGACCCAAGTGTGTAGCAAGTGGTGTTCTCTGTGACTCTTAGGTTATTCTTATGCACTTTATTTGAGGCACCTGGATCCCCTGGAGAATCCAGCTGCAAGGATGTAGTGGAGAGGTGTTGACATTCCCTGATTTTGCACACATTTCCATTGTGTAGGGAGACTCGGACTGCTCTGTGTAGCTTGCTGGAGGTGTTTACGTCTGCCCACTGAAACCTCAGTGAAGTGTTGAAGGTTTGCTGAGATGAATCCAGGCCTGAATTTCCCTTTGGATCTTCTGGGGTGGATTCAGCAGCACACTGGCAATGCTTGTGTTACCACTGCCATCGCTGCAGCTGTGACCAGAAGTTTGTGGTCCCTGGGGCTCTTCATCTGCTGTTCCCTCCAGCTCTGACTTCTGTTGAAATGTGAGATGAGAGCTGCTGTGTGCATACTTATGCATGCAAAGGATTGGGGTTTGGAAAGATGAATGCCATCAATCGAAGTGTTCACCGGGAGTTTTTTTGACACCGATTAAAATCTAGTAAAGAAAAGCAGGTTCCACATAAAGCATTTGGGTTCTATGGTTGACGATAGGTTTGCGAATCAGGTTTGCGTGTCATTTAGGCCGTATTTCAAAGGACCTGGCTTCCTGCCAACTGGAACTGGCGAGCTGGGTAACCAGAAACTGTGCTTGTGCAGTCCTTACGCGCCAGTTCCCAGACAGGCTTGGCTGTGTGCCAGCGTTTCCCCAGAGTCCCAGGGCGTAGAGCCTTCGGCTCTGTGCTGCTCCTCTGCTTTGGTGCAGTAGGAGCTGCACAATAAATCCCGGAGTACAACTTTGCTAGAATTCAGGGACGAAGGGGTTTTTGGAGGTTGTTTGGCCCCAGTTTGAGTTCCCAAATGGGATGCTTTGCTGTTGGTGTGAAGGGACACTGACCCATCAGAGCTTCTGCAGAACTGCTTTCTGGAAGGCTTTACCTGGTCCCCTCTCTTTTCCACCTTTCTTCTTTGTCTCCCTTTCATAAAAGGGAACTGATGATTTGCCAGGTTCATCCCTTTAGAGCAAACAGGTATAAATCCAGCTGGAAATGATGGCTTGTTCCACGTGTTGTTCTGCATGGAGCAAGACTGCTATAGCCAAGAACTATCCAGCCAAGGTCTGCTGTAAATTCCCTTGCCACGCAGATTTATGTCAGCTGTGAAAATGCAGCACTGGGTGAATATGCCTGAAAAGTTTAGTGTTAAGAGGCAGGTCTTAAAGGGGACTGAACAACTTCCTCCACATCAGCTGCTTTGCGAACTCAGTGAATTTGCAGACCCGCTGCCTTTCTGTGTCCCAGGTGTAGGTTTGTTCCCAATCCCGAAACGGGGAGAAGGGTGTGAGATCTGTACTGCTTTTGGCCCTTACCCATTTGTTGTGGTGCCTGCTAGAAGGTTGGGGAAAGGTTGCAGGATCCTGCTAACAGAGGTTGTGGCAAACAGATCCCTTCAGGGTTTTGTAGGGAGCTTTCTGTGCTCCCCTTCTCATCAATTCTGAGAGAGCACTGCAAGTTTTCCTTGCTGGCAGATGTCAGAAGAGGAGCAAGGCACGTCTGTCTCGCATCACACTGACTTTACCCAGAGACAGGTTCAGGCAAATAAAAGGCTTTTATTGCAATGGCTGGGCTGCCTGTCCTGTAGCCAACAGGTTTAGCTAATACGTAGCGCAGAGAATGAAAGCTGAGTTCATAAGAATTGAACTGCCTGCTGCCTTGTTTTCTCCAACAGCTAAAAGCTGCTCTGTCTTTAGGTCTCTCAAGGCAGCCAAAGTAATGGTTGGGTAAATTTGTTATTGACTCGAGCTCTACTGTTTCAGAATGCATGGGGCATTTGAAACCCTTAAACTGAGAGGGCAGTAGTGCCTATACGCTTAGATTCCTAAAAACCAAGCAAACAAACAGTTCCCCCTCACCCACCCGCCCCAAACCCAAGTGTTCCCCTGAAAATCTGCGTAGATACTGATATTAGTGATGAATTAACATCCTGTGCTCCTTCAAGATCTCCAGATGTCAGGGTGTTTTTTTCAAAGCAGCAGCTGTAAGGCAACTTTCTGGGGAGGAGCAGCAAGTATGAAACTGTGTCTGCCAATACTGCAAGTGTGTGAAGCAAAAAGTGACGTGATTAAAAAGGTGAATGAGAAGAGGGTAATTACCACAGCAGAAGCTTAATTAGGATAGTGGAATCCATTCTTTACTGCACACTTGCAAGAAGATCATTAGGGACTTCCTTTTTATATATCATGCAAAAAGGACCATTTAATAGCACAGTGCTACTTAAAAGCACTCTGGGATTTGTCTCTGTAGTGGTTCTCAAAGAAGTAGGTTGCTTGCTTTATCGGTGCCGCTCCTGGTGCCAGTGCGAGGTGTCAGAGCGCATCCACAAGCGTTCTGCCTCCGAGAAGAGCTTTGCTTGGCTTATCAAAGCAGTAAGACCGGAGGCTTGCAGACCCATCCGGGCAGCAGTTTATAAATTAAAAGAAGACCCCAAGTCAACAACAGGCAGCGCAGGAACAACTAAAATACCTATGATACACAAGTACTGGAAAACCAGTTTGTTTTCCAGTCTCTCTGCCAAGATCTGATTTGAGAGAGGTTCCAAGAGCCCCCGAGAGTGGATGGTGTTGGCAATAAGCAGAAATGCTCGGCTGTAAGAGTAGCTTGGGACTCTTGTCCATAGATGCCAACAGGTAACTTAAATCTTTACCACCAGCTTATCTTTAAAGTGTGAATGGATGGGTGGACTTCTGAGCCTTCTCACCCTTTTCCTTAGAGGAGGGAGGAGCTCACTTCTGCAAAGCTCTGGGACACAAAACCTTTTCACTGCTTACATGTGATTTAAATTTGGAGGGCCCTGATGGGAAATGTTTAACATAGCTGATTGTACAGCGGTCAACTTTGTATCTACAAATGTGAAATGAAAGCTTTTCTTTTTGAACGTAAAATCCCCCCAAGTAAGCTGGACGGAGAGAAGAAGAAAAGGACTCAGGAAAGGGTTGGAATTTGCTTTATTTTACAAAATGCAGTTCCCTCTGCCCTTCCCCCTCCCCCTTTCTTTTTTTTCCTATAACCTCAGCAGCGTGAGCAGAAAGAAGTGTTTCTCTTTCAGATCACAGATTGCTGCTGCAAGCTTTTGCCAACCGAGTGCGTTTCCTCAGCGGCCAAGCTCTGCTGGATGTCACAGAACATCTCTCAGGTATTGCCTGCTTCAGCTCATCTCAACTTGTAAATGAAGAAGCCTTCAGAGGGAATATTTAGAGGGACAGCTTCAGAACAGACAGTGCAGTAGCTCACCAAACACCGGCAGGTTCTGAGCTCGTCTCTCCTGTGAGATACACGTAATAGGTATATTTGGCAGGGGTTTGCCTGGCTGCTGCAGAGGTGTGCAGCATGTGAGATGAGGACGCGAGCTCTCACTGGGGCATCTCAGGACCTGCCTCCAGGAAAAAAGAGGGGCTAAAAATACCCTGTCTGGCTCCTCTCTTTGAAGGACAGTACAGTAAATGTCGTGGACCTGGAAGAGGTCCCTTTTCTAAGGTGAACAACCTCAGAGAAAACTGTGGTAACTGTTACTTCTGACAATCAGTTTGGTTTGTCATCATGGGATTCTCATTTTCCTGTCGGAAAGTTCTGAGGCTGAATTCTGCAGAGCCTGGGGCTCACAACGTAGGGGAAAACTCAACACACACGTTACAGGCAAGGATTTTGTGCAAGGCAGAACTTGGGGACTGAGGGGCAGAAGCCCAGCCCCTTCAGCCCCACCCACTGAGGCTCCCTGCCTGTGCTGCAGGTACGACATTGGTCCCAAGCATTTCAGGGTGTGCAGACAATCTATTTCTAGATCAGTGGTGCCCAACACACTACAAAGGCAGCTGATCATTGATTTAGAATAGTAGCTTGCTATGTCAGCAATAGCCAAGGAATGGAAAAAATTATAATCTCAATATATACTAGAAAAGACTGTTTACACCCTTCCTTCAGTTAGGGCTAAATCCACTGCCAATTAGGCCAGCATCTTTTAATCCAAGCTTTAATACACTTTGCTTCTTCATGAGGAATCTCAAAAGGGCAGGCTTAGCCATAGCGAGTGTAAAAGGGCCCTTAAAGATAATTTGCATAAAGTAAACCTCCATAAACATAGAATTAGTTTTACAGTTATTTAATCTTTTTTCAGATAAAGCACTTGAACATAAATTGGGACTACTTTAGAGGGACCAGGCATTCTCTCTTTGATTTACTGTAAACAGACAGCTCTTTCTCTTCTGAAGCTCCATAGTGACCTCTGAGTTTAATAGCATTTAAACTCAAATTAACTCCCATTTTAAAATAGGTACCATAACCCTTTTCCTTCCGACCAGCATTGTGTTGAGGTACCTTCAGGAGCCATTTAAATGTTGATGATTTATGCTAGATTAACAGCATTCAGAAATTTAAGGTCCTTCCCCTACAGAACAGTAAGTGGTTACTTTATGACAGAATCACATTAACATTTCCACTGAAAAGAAAATAAGAACTCTGTCTCCAGACCATTTCAGATTTTGATCTCTCAGCAAAATCTGCCATGCAAGGAGCCTACTGGGAGTAAACTTTGGTTTATATTCCATAGAGTTCAGTTCAGAAAATGAGCTGAGAGCAGACCTCTGAGAGAATGAGAGGGAATGCTTGTTTTTTGTGAAATTTCAGCTCCCTGCATAAGATATTTTTTCTCCCTCTGTATCCCTATTTCTGGGAACATTGTGAGGATAAATGTCCAAATGCCATGGCAGTGGAGTCTGGGTAATTATCTAAGACATCCTGAAGTTTGAAACAGCTGTTCATTAGAAGCCACCAAGTATGAAGAGAAAAATCCTCCGATTAGAGCCTTCTGCCAAAGACATCAGTTAGCCACTGATGTTTCTACCCAAACTGTCTAGTGGCACACATTCTTTTGTGGGCTGGAGTTTTGAAGTGTGTTATAATACAGCCGTTTGCTGTGTGCCACCGAGCAAAGGGAAGTGCCAGATTAGACTGTTGGCATTTTTCAACAAAGGTCGCCAAAAAATAATCATCCTTGTTGTTAGAAATCTGTCAATTACCTCTCTAAGATGCATTTCAGAATCTTCAGCAGCTGGCTTAGACAGCTTCTGAATGGAAATAACCAGCGATTGGACGTTTTTGTCATTTGGAATGCAGAAGTGGATAGTGAAATGCTTCTCTCTCTCCCCCGGCAGCGCTCGTGGTATCTCTTTATCCCTGGAAACCCCAAGCCGTCAAGCACTACGCCCTGCCCGTACTCTGGTTCTTCCTGGGAAACAAGGCCCCGCCTGTCCGAAGCAGGAATGTCAGGGCTGTGGCTGCCAAGCTTGCAAAGACCCTCTACCAAGTGATGGGCTTGAGCCTGAAGGACCATGCTGCCACCCAGCCTCAGCACGTGGTGAAGAACCTCTCGGACATTTTGGGCCTGAAGGTCGGGTGAAGACTTGGTGTGCTCCAGGGAGCCGACAGAGAGATGCTGAGTGGAACAGGTGGAGGCAAAGGTGGACGTGGTGGTGGCGGCACTGGTTTTACTCAGTGTCTTTGAAGAACGAGATTAACCGTACAGAGTTTATAGTTACAGTTGTACATAGCATATTTTGATGTAAGCTTTTAAAAAATAAATGAAGTATTTTTCAAAAGGTTTCTGTCTTGAGCTCATGTTCCCTAAGAATCTTGCATCGATACCAGAAAAATGAAAACCTGTGTGTAAATGCAATTTGTAACTGTAGAAAGGAAAATACTTATATACCTACTTAGAAAGTAAGAGATGCACATATATATATATATATCTATATATCTATCTCCCCTTATGAAGTAAGAGATGGGCTTTGGAAGCCCTGGGGCTATAGGATTAGATGGCTTGATTTGAGAAGCAGAGAAGGAGAGACCAGGCCCTGCTAGCCCAGAGGATATGTGGTGGGGTTATCGGAGGATGTGCTGCTCACTGTGTGTGCCAGTGTATGCCACGGGTGCCAAGCTACCAGGTGGCCTCTTTACAAGTCTCTGGTAGCTGCTGGTGCAATGAGAGACACCGAGATGTGCCGATCAAGCTCACGACAGCAGAAATCTCCCCATTCTTCCCATTTCAGGGGATGCTTGTTGTCCGTAGTCCCCCTGCGCTCCCTCGTGCAATGGACTGATGTGGTGAGGTGGCCAGTGCCATTGGACTGTCTGCCAGCACCCTGGGGCGCCCCTGGGGAGGTGCAGGAGAGGGGCTCGGGTAGGGGGCTGTGCCACCTTGCAGAGAGTGCTGGGTGACACACGGGGTGCTGGGCAGTGAGTGGGCTGAGGGTGTCCTACAGAAGCTGGGGAGAGGTAAGCTGTGGGCAGGCATCATTTTTAAAAGGCTGTACATTTTCTAAATATCTTTTTTTTTCCATCTTTTGAGAAGGGAAGGCTTTGCCTTGTATGCAGACCAGTAAAGCACTTCTGAACCTGAGATTCAGGAACCTGAGGAAGGGAAGTGCCAGTCCTTCACCATAAAAGGTTTGGAAGCACAAGGGGAGAAATGATGAGAGAAGAGAGGAAGGGCTGAAAGCAACAGAGGCTGGTGCATCTGTATAATCAGATATGGAAACAGAGCAGCCTGATCTATGTTCATATCATCCTCAATCTACTGGCAGAGTTTTTGAACGAAAGAAAAATGGAAGCTTTGGGGAGAAGAAAAAATAGGAAAACAATGGCATGGAACACATGGGGCCCATGGAGGGTTAAAAGAGCCTTGACAGGTTCTTGACAAGTACAAGGACCTTACATGAAGCTGGGAGGCCAAAAAATACTTCAGGGAGATCTGCCCATCCCACGGGTCTTACATTTATTTGCTGCAGAGTTTGGTATGTCTAAAGCTATACAGGACTCACAACTTGCCAGATACAGTTGTTGCGTTGGATCACCTCTTAAGGAATCTCTTTTTCTTTTTAATACAGTACTAAGGCAGCGAAATTATTCAGTAGACTATTCTAAAAGGTTTTTTGCTGCTGTTTTTTGTTTTTAACTCCCAACTCCAGAACTCATGTCTATGAAGTCTTGGCATGTGATCTAGGCCAGGGACATAGCTTTGAAGCACTGGTATCTCTGGAGATCCTGCAGAGCCTGGTGGAAGCCACAGTCCTTGCAGATCTGCTGGAGTATTTTGGAGTTTAGCATCTTGAGAAATCTTTCTAACATCTTGCCAGAAACAGGAACAGCCTGGTGGGATGCAGTAGCATTGTTTTGCAGGCATGACAGGGTTCCAGAGACTATATGTTTGCACCATAATGCTAAGGGTGAGCTGCTGTAGAATGTTGGAGGGTGCCTGAATTGAAAGAGTAGGTCTTGAACTATGTCACTTCATTAAGCACCTGCACTTTGCTTGAGATCTGTATTATCAGGCAAATAACTTTTCTTGTTAAGCGGTTCGTATCTCTAGAGGACCTCCTGTGTTTGCTTTCTCTACCTCCAAAGTTGTTCTTGCTGTTTCCCTCCTCTGCAGATCCCTCCCTCTGAAGCCCTGTAAATGCTGCTCTGCACAGTCTGCTTTTGCTGGGCTGAAAAAAGCTCTTTGGTTTTAATTTGTGCTTGGGCCCTTGGGAATGTGGGGGGAAGCTTCTACACTTGGGAGAAAAAAACACTTGCGCACATCATATGACATCTCCCAGAACCTGTTTTTATGTGCTCAGTTGTAGCACTTGCAAAGTAGGTTTGAAAAGTAACCCATGTAACTGGTTCCTTAACTCTCTCTTAGCCTTAAGTGGTGCTTTCATGCATAGTGTTCCCCACAGTCGATGAGAACAAAGCATTGCCTGCTGATACTTATTTTTCTGTCTAGGTGTTTTACTCTTTTTGACTCTCCAGATGAGACAGTTTCCCTGTGAGAGGGGCACGGGCACTCCTACCACAGCAAGATCAAATTTAGCTGATGGTGTGACTGCAGTGAAAAGCAGAGGGGTTAATTGGGAGGAGTTAATTCAGCTCAGGTGAGCTGCCACATGTTTGAACAGGGGCACATCTCAAGTTATTAAGAAGCTACCAAGATTATTTTGGTAACAAAAGGCAAAGCAGTTTTGGACCTTCTTCCAGCACTGGTAAGAATTTAAATATTTAGTTTTTTGAACTTATTTTTGTTATAACTTCATTACAGAAGTCTGTTTCACCAGAGAGGAGACTGCAAGCTGCACTTGCAGAGTAATTTTAATTCATTTAATTATTGCATTTAATGTGCAATTTAGCTGCTCACCCACAGAAGTTAGTATAGCAAAAGGAATGTATGCCAGTCTTGTACATTGGCTTACTCTTACCCTACATCCTGCCAGAGCCCCAAGACAGACCCTGGCTCTCACAAATGGTTCCTCCTGCTTGCTGAAGGTAAGAGTTGCTGTCATCAAGGGAAGGTGGGGGATAAAAGGTGGCATGGCTTCTATCGTAAAGGAGTGAAGAAAGCTTATGCACCCCCACAGGGTAGGAAGAGGGTGGTCTTGTGCCATCATCCTGTTCAAGGGGGCATTAGAGCTCTGAAGTGCCATGAGCAGAGAGACTGGTGCTATGTAGTCTGCAAAATTCATCATCCAGTCAGTAAAAATTCATTATCCAGTCTGTAAAATTAATCATTTCTTCAAATGAACATTTTCTTCTCACCAAGAGTCAAAGCACATGCCTGGTGTCACAGCTCGTCTGCTCTTTAGAGTGCTTGTGCCACTCTCCATGTGAAAATGTAACAGCAAACCCCGTGCAGGAATGTGAATGCATGAACTTGAGAGTGCCAAGAAGACTTTGGGGATGAGCACTGTATGGAAAAATGAATGGCAAATAGGGAGGGAGGACAAGGAAGGAAGCACGAACATGAAGTCTGGTGTGGCAACTGAAGGTTCCTGTTGTAAATATGCTGCCTCATGGTGTTGTGAGATGTGGAGAGTTACAGAACACCTGAAGGGAGCTGCTTTTGCAGAGATGCAGCAGGGTCATGGAGTATGATAGGGTGATTCTGGTAGAATTTGCTCTTAAGGTTAAAGGTGGACTTGGGAATCAGCTGCTGAAGTCTCTCTCTCAAGCAGTGGGAGGGGGGCTGCTTTGAGGTGGCTATTTTAATCCTTGATAAATAGTGATGATGGGAATAAAAGTGGTTGCATTGATACCAAATCTCTGACAGCTGACATGGAATCCTGATACTGCCTTTGATATGGGCAGAGGTGAGAAGACTACTCTAGCTAAAATTAGAGTTGACCTGAACCTTTAAGCCTCCACTCTGCCTTGGTATCTTTAGCTGAAAAAAACCCAGTAAGCCTGCTTGGCCAACAAACTGCCCCTGTGTATCCTTAAAAGCCCCCCCGATAGTTTTCAAATGCAGTTGGCAGTGGTAAAGGAGCTTGTAAAGCCTGTCTCTGCTAATAGCTGTGCCCTGAATAAATGAAGGCTGTGCTACTTTCACCGCCGTTTCGGGTGTTTCACCTCCTCTGCATTTGAGAGCAGAACATAAAAACTCTGTCCCCTTTGGAGACCGCGGTGAAGGCTGCCGGATGCGCAGGTCTGTCACTACCTGCTGCTGGGTCCTGGAAAGGACGTGTGTGCCCATCGGCCAGCACTGCAGTTAAGCCCAAGCTCTCAGGCACAGCCTGGAGTTTCATGTCCCTTGTGATTCGACTACTGCTGCTCCAGCTTCCTCTACAGACTCATGCACATCTATACACAAACGTCTATGCACAGAGACGCTTCCTCTACACAGTAGTCCTCCTCTGTGTATACTGTCAGTATATAAAATATATTAGGCTGTAAAACTGCTCACTGTTGACACATTTCTGTCAGTGCAAATAGTAGTACGTGTTATTTCGAGTAATGAAAATGGCTGTACTAATAGAATGACTTTCGTGTGGATACGATTGTGCCAGTACTAGGATTTCTATTGCTTTGACTGCTGTATTATTCTGCAGTTTTTTATTTTCAGTATCGCCCAGTGCAAACAAAACATGCTCCTGTTTCCCCAGGGAACAGCCGTCCTCTGGCTAAATCAGCCTGATGGCTCTGGTGGGTGCCCTTGGAGGCTGGGCCCCTGCAGCTGTGGGCTCCTGCTACCCAGTCTGGCAGCTGCTGCTGTTCCATTCTCCAGTGATCCTGCAATTAATACTCCATTTGAAGATCATGGTAACAGCATGCACCAATTCTGGTCCTGTCCTGGGCTGATGGTAGTTCACATTTTACACCTGTAGGAAGCTGCATTTTTTTTTTCCCCCAACCTTACAGATTGCTCTTGTTCCAGTAAATGTTGGCCTAAAATCTTCCTCAGTGCAATTCCAATAAGGAATCAATCTGTCCCACCATACCCTTTCCTCACTGGCCCTTTCCTCCTCTTTGTCTTTTGCTATGGTTTCTTTGTGTCATCTGCTGCTGCTATTGATTATTTGGTATTACAGTGGTGCCATTTGTTTACATGTTTGGGGGAAAATGTACTCAAAAGGTCCTGTATAGAATAAAGTTTTCTAACTAGATATATTCTGTGCTCACAATAGACCTGAACAAAGAAAACGGCGCAAATCCCAAAGCTTTGCACATTTGTAGTCTCAGTCATTTCTGGCGTATAGCTGTCTTCAATCACATTTTTTTGTGTAAGAAGAGGAAATGTATTTCACTGGGAAAAGATGCACTGCTTTTGAAAAGACATACATACATATATATATATATATATATACACCCAGGACAGCAGTCAAGTGGTGTTGTTTGTAACTTGTTTGCAGAAGGACAAGTTGACCGTGAGACCAATAACAGGTGAGAAGGATTTTTCTAATCTATTTATATGCCAGCCTGGGTGCCATTCAGCCCAGAGAAATGTCGTAATTTATTGCCGTGGGTCAGCGCTTGCCAGCGTAATGAATTCCTGTGTAGCTGGAACAAGCACTTCTGGGTTCAGCTTCGACTCTTGGTGGACTGCATGATCGTTGACAACGCTGCCTTTTAAGAAATTATTTAACAGTTTCATTTCATAATAATTTGAATCTTTTAAGCTTACATTTTAATTTGTGTCTGCCATTATTCCTCTGCCTTAGGGAAAAACACTTCACAGCCCAGTGCAAACTGTAACATTTTGACAGCAAATTCTGCATGGTTGCCAGTTTCTGATGTCACAAAAGAAAATGCACGTGTGATGTGTTAATTAGGTTTTCTGAAGGAAAAAATCTATTTTATGTGGTTATGTGTGTGTTTGCTTAGCTACGGATCTAATCCTGCCCTAGTAAAGCCCAGGCAGGGTAGCATGTTGCAAGGAAGAACAGTCTTACAGGATTGCCATCGCCAGCACAGTGAATGTGTCCTTTTGGGTTTTCCTTGGAGACAAAATTAGGGATAGAAACTGTTTAGCCCCATTTCCTGCCCTGATATTCTCTCGGATCTTTTTAACACATCACAGTAAAGGCAGTGAAACTTTGCACACCCACTGTTTGAAGAGTGGCATTGTTTTCTCTCCTTAAATTCACTGCTCTTTCATACCAGAAATATTGCTTAGTTTTCAAACGTGGTAGTAAACAAAAGTGGATGATGCATGGTCCTCCTGATGATGCTTCAGAGTACTGGTAAGTGCTTGGCTTACAAAACTAAATTTAGATATAGATTGGGTCTTGGCTCAGTTTTATGCAAATTTAGGAGGACAAGAAATTTTGATTGACTTGTCATTCACAAATGGGTGAGTGGGAGGTGGTCAGCCCTAGTGCTGCCGCTTTGTACTTCTGGAGCATATCAGTCCCCTGGGAAGCATCATCCAAAGGACAGAGAAGCTCACATAAGTCCTTGTCTCCTTTTTCCTGCAAGGAGTCTAAATTAAACCTTGCAAAGGACTTATAAAGTTATTAGTACACTGTTTATTTAAAGAAGTACCTTTCTATTTTTGCTGGTTTGTAAACAACCTCTGAAGAGGTTACAACAAGCTTCGTTGTGTGTTGGTAGTAGGCAGTTGCAGAGCCATTGGTCAGGCAAGGGAAACTGGGAATACACCGAGCATCTAAATGCTTGCTGCACTGCTTGTGCTGTGGTGTTTCCAGTGGCTTTTTTTTTTTTTTTTTTCTTCTGCAGAAAAGATTAGCTATTTGGTTATCAAGGGAACTCTGTGGGCCTGGAAATGGGAAATTGTTGACTTGCCTGGGCTAGCAGAGCTCAAACACACAGTACATGCTTTTTCCCTCTCTTGGCTATTGGTAGGATAAATAGTTCTCGAGTACTGAGTTTTTCAACACAAAGAATATAGTGTTGTATTTATTTTTAATTGTCCATGGTGTTTTCTAGATTATGTCTTTATTTTGCACCTTAGAGCTACCCTGTTACCTGCTGTTGTTAATATGCTCTGTGGACTGATGATATTTGTCTAAGACTCAGAATTAGGTAACTGCTTACCAGGAGTCCAGTGTCTTACTAGCTACTCAACTGCAGAGCACTGTGTGACAGCAGTGCATCCCCGGTGCTCTCTGTTCCCTGGTTTATCCACATGAAAAACTGCTATGGAAACCTACTTGTATGCCAGGTCTCTTATGCTAATTAATCCATGTATGTATATGCATATGTTTTCTTTGAAATATAAAGATGAAAGGATCTGCATGGATATCAGGTCATTAATAAAAACCTCAGTATTCCAAAACCGCCAGAAAGATGCATTGCCTTGTGCCCTGACTGTCCACATTAACTATATTTGCAAACAAAGAGACGCAAAGCTTCAAAGTGGAGGAAAACATTTAAAGAATAAAAAATTAAAGCCATTGTATTGTACTGGCAGGTTTAATTTCCAGTTTGGATGCAAGAGATATTAAACTGATATTAGTTATAAGAATGGATAAAGCTGCTAGATGGAAATTGCCCCATTAGATTGACTACTCAGAGTCACATTTAAAAGCTAAGCAATGAGTGGATTTGTTGGTTTAGGTTTTATCTGTAGAGTCATCTCAGCCTTGCTATGTATCTTTGTGTGTCTGCTGGAATGCTGGGAAAGTTTTGTTCACAGCTTTACAGTTTCTGCTCTGGGGAAGGACAGGTCTTTGTTATCATCCTTAGGCTTCAGCTTTGGTTCATTTGTATATTAAAGACTCAGTGGTTCAGTAGTAGTAATAATAATAAATGAAGGGCAGCCTGTAACATTGAAAGCTTTCAGTTTCTCTTTAATTGCTATATAATCAACCCATCTATGCCTCGAGGAAAACTTTATTAAAGCAGGAGGGATTCATATTGAGTAAGATAGGCTTATCACCCCTTTCTCCTTTAAAATAACCTTGGTAAAGGTTGTGCTCTATAGAGTCTAACTTCAAAAATCCTCTCAGGGTTTCTTAATGCAGTCACAGGGTTGTATATTAGTAAAGAAAGAGGAAAGAATATGATGAGGAGAGGTAAGAGGCCAGATTTTGAGATTCAGAATGTCAGTAAAGTGGGGAACAATTAAGGGGCTGTCTCTT